GCACTTTATCATAGCTATTATATGATATTGTTTTAAAAAACAGTGATTATATTCACATAACGAACTGTAAATTTTGAAATAAAACAGTGATTGATAAATCTGAAGACCAAAACACTTCTACTGTTATGCAGAACATAAGCAAAAAATTTCAGCCAATTATTTTGAAAACTTTTTGAGCAATCGCTGTGTCCCCACTTGAGTTTTTCGAAAAAAAACACATTTCGAATAAAACGCGTTTTAAAATTTGACATCTTGTGTAAAGTTATTTCATCTGCTTTCACTAAAACGCTTGTAGTTTTAGTTCTAGTGAAGGGATAATAAAAAACTTGGTATTGTTATTAAGCTAATAAGTTGTCTTATAAAATAAAATCATAAAAAAATTGTCAAATTTTGAAAAAAATCATGATTTTAGGGTAGTTGGATATCTTAAATTAGGATTGTCTAACAAAATGGATAAATACTTTAAAGTTATTCCGGATACATTTAACTTCCCGAATTAATTTTTTAATGTCCCTCAAGTAGCTAAAATTGCTTTTGCAACACATTGCATTAAATATTTTTCCCCTCTCTTATATGGACATATTTGACATTTAAAAATTTCCACATTCAATTTTGTCTTAGAAAGTATTTTTAAGATTACCAATACAGTGGAGGAAATTATTCCTTATCTGCTCAAAATACTTTGAAATCAACGTAGGCCGAAAATTCTGCATAAAAATAATGTTTGAAAAGTAACTTCAGTTCAATAGTAATTAGCAGTATTAAGAATAAATCATTTTTCATTTGCTGTGAGAATTATTGTTTGCTTCATAAGTGCTGAAAAATAAAACAGTATAGCATGTTTTAATAAATACATCAATAATTATGTTAGATATATAGAAATGAAAATGTGAGGGGGCAATCAAAAATAGACAAAATTAGAGAATACGACTTTAAAATAAGTCTAATGCAAGTACATACAAATAACTGATTTATCAAACATAATCGATCTTCTGTTCACTAATTATGGGTGACATTCACAGAATATTTAGTGTAAAGAAAAGTTAGGTATCTACTATGAACCAAGTCATTGTAATTCCTCATTTAAGAGACTCAATCTAACGCATAGTAAATCAGGGTACCAAGTGGCCGTGGTCGCAACCTCTTGGCTATCATTATTTCTTTCGAGTCATGTTTCAAATCTTGGTGCCACTGAATACAAGCCAAATAGAAGAGCTGATGCACGGTAAATCTGCCGAATGTGGCGGTGTAATATGGATATAAACCAGTAACAGCCACCACGCGAGGACGATCGTTTGGGCGTGCTGGCTAAGATACTTATTTCCGGAACGAAAGGTACACAGATCGAATCCCTCCTTCATATCTCCCATTTAAGTATTTAGAAATCGTGTTATATTACTGAGAGCTCGAATCAACATTCGAATACAAAATGAGTATTAGGCTTAGATAAAGCAAATAAATAGATTGAGAGAATCAACTATCTTTAATTTAAATGTTCTTTACATTTCACAGTAATTTGTAATCAATTTTACTGAAAATTATTAAAGAAAAAGAAAGAAATTAAAAGAAAATGATATTTAAAACATTTGGTATGAAAATTACGTTTTGATCAGATTTTTTATTGGCTAGTAGCATCTGTTCTAGTATTCTGAAATTCGTTATGATAAATGTTATTAAAAAATAAGCAATCAACACGCACACACACAACATAGTTGTATTGCAATGGATAGCACCATCCATACTCGCAAAAAAAATAATATATAGCAAAAAAACTTTTCTCTGGAAATTAAAATTCGTAACTTTGAAATCCACAAAAGCCTTCAGGGCAACTTTCGTGCAGAGGGATTTCTTTCTTTCCAAAATATCCAGAAATAAACTTTTTTTTCCTTGCATGTATGTATGTCCCTTCAAGGGAAAAAGTTACTACCTTTTTATTTCATATTTCCTTCAAGATTGCTTTAAAAAAAAAAGAGCAAAAATCCAATCCCAAAACAGCCACGCACTCTTTCATACTTTTCTCATCAACTCGCGATCCATTTCAAAAAATAAAATATAACAAAATAAAACCCAAAAAGAAAAGACGATAGATTCCTCTTCCTCCTTCCAAGATCTCTTTTTAAACCACCCCGAAGCAATTGGAACTAAGCCTCTCGCCTCTCTTCCAAATTGTTCGCGACACTTTATCGTCTGTCGTCTTTCATTCTGTAATATGATCTACCCTCTCTCCGACCCCTCGTTATTTCATTTGGCAGACGATACTATCCGGCATAACTGCCGGAACAGCACTGGTCATGTCCGGCTTTGTACCTCCAGTGCACTAATCCACTTTCTCCAAAGTTATCCCTAATTCCAAAGATCCCCCCAGATGACGGATGAAGGTAGTCACCGATCGTGACGTCCACCCCTTTCGAGGGGGGTCGATCCCTTTCACTCAATTCGTCATAATCTGGAATGATCGTGACAGGTTCTTACTTGTCCTCCTTCAGGTAGGGGGCTGTTGTCTATTAGTTCTTCAGGAAAAAGAGGAAACAAACTATTCTTGACATTAGGGTCTGGATGCATTTGTTCATTACTTGTCATAGTAATCTTGTCATTGCCACGAACAAAAAATGTTACACTGTATCTGTTAAGGTTTCTGTTCCCCTAAGACGAAAGAATAACATACAAACTCGAAATATTTCTCACAGATAAGAATAATATTTTTATATCAATATAATTTTCAGAGAATTCACTATCAAATAAAAAAGTCTCATTCTAATATATTGAACAATTTTATTTAAATCCTTTTTAAGAAACACAAAATACAAAAAAAACTTCTAATCTCTACTTGTAATCTTATAAAGAAAGTTTTGATAGAAAACTTATTAAGTAACTCACTTACTCGCTCATCGCATGATCTCCGGAACTATTGGACCCACAAACTTGAAACTTGGCATGCATGTTTCTTTTGTTGAGTAAGTATCCGCTAAAAACGGGTCTTGCTGAAATCGATTCTCAAGTGGGGTTGCGATAGGTTAGGAGGTGCTCTTGTTAAACATTCCCATTTTTCAGTTATTAGAGCTACATACTAGAAATTTGACCAGCAGATTTCATTTGTTGAGAAGAGATCTGCTAAGAATGGCTTTTACGGGAATCGATTTTTAAGGACGAAAGGGAGGTTGTGGTTAAAAAAAATTGTAAAAGATACAAAAAAGTTTTGTACTTTTGGACCTACAGACTTGAAATTTGGGGTGCGGGGCAGGGGTCACGTTTCGTTTGTTATGTAGAGATTTCTGAGAGCGTAAGCTGATGGAAACCGACTTTCAAACGGGAGGCCCTACTATTAGCTCACATTCTCTATATATTTATTTATTTATCTTCGTGGAATTTTCAATCGTAAATAAAATACATTTTGAAGCGCTCAATTGAGCTGAATTTTTATATACATGATTATTTTGGATGACAATACAGCAATTTAATTATAATTAATCACAGTTATTTAATTAAAACTAATTATTTAAAGAATTACAAATACAGCCACGTTGGCCTCATTTTTGGCGACTTAGAGACCCTTTTGGTGATTTGTGTGTGTCAAAACATGAAAAGATTTTTTTCTTACATTTTAAAGCACTCGTTTGAGCTGCAATTTTCTATACACTATTGTTTTGGGTAAAAATATGATAATTTAATTATAATTAATTAAAATTAATTGACTGGAACTAATTATTTAATGAAATACAGATGCAGCCAGCTACTTGGGTCAAAACTTTAAAAGATTTTTTTCTCACGTTTTAAAGCATTCAATTGAACTGAAATTTATATACACGATTGTTTTGGATGACAATACGATACGTTAAGGATAATTAATAAAAATTGATTACCACTTAATGCCCTATGTATATACATATTTATATTAATTGTAACTATTTAATAAAAAGTAGCTAAAATAAAAATTTTCTTTGTTGATCTAAGTAGGAATTGACATAAAAAAAAATTATATAACTTGTTATTATTTTGTTTTTTTTATGATGTTGAGTTATCAGTGTGAGAAGAAACCTCAACATATTGAGGAAATGTGAGTGATTTGAATAGTTATTAATTTTTTGTAAATGTGGTTTCTTTATATATGTTACCGTTAAAGTGTATAATTCAGTTATTTCATGGAATAACTAGACGTCAGTTAAAGTATGTAATAGATGAAAAATATAAGATACTTTACCTAGTTATTCTATGAAATAACTAGGCATTCTATGAAATAACTAAGAATATACCAGTTATGTGAAAAATAAACAATTTCAAAGATATTTTATAAATTAATTGACCATAAATAACTAAAATCTCTCGAGAAATACATTTTTTCCCTTTAACGGATGATAAATAATGATGGGAAGCAGATGATACAGTTTATTATTGCTCATATTGCTAACATTAATTAAACAGAAAGGGGAAGGAGTTGAGTGAGTGAATATTAACGTCGCACTGTTCAGCTTCACGAGGGTTTTTGGTGACGGACCTCTTAATTTTGAACCATGGTCAAGTGACGAGGACGAAACCTGAGCTGCCCCCCTCCTAACTACCCCACTACACCAACTTGAGGACCGAAAGGGAGGGAATGTATATGTGTGTGTTGCAAAAATAGATTATATTTAAATATTATCAACAAAAATTCATGCTAAGAAGAAAAACTGTTGCTTCATAGAAACATTGTGTAGACTTTTTAAAACAAAAATGTAGGAGAATATTAATTTTATTTTTATGAGATATCTTTATTTTACTTTTCAGTATTTATTAGAGCAAAAATTGCTGTGATGACACTTTGAATTGCACTGCTTATTATTTTTGAAGCAAGCACACTTTTTAGTATTACACACTTTTTTTACACGAGTACTTTTTAAATCCATGTCAAATACCGCAACTTTGAGCTGATGCGACAGATCGAACCATTGTGTCAATATTTGGAACTTTTTTAATGGAAATTAATTCTCGCTGACTTATACTGAACTGATATCTAGAGTACAATTGTTTTGTTAGCCGCCCAGCCAGTATATTGGATATGACCCTCGGCTTAAAACCGAGAGTGTTCGGGTTCGAATCCCGAGTAAAGCATGGTTGTATCTTTTTAAGGGAAAAGAAGCCGGATCTTTTCGCCTGCAATGGATTCCCGTCTCGTATGAAAAGCAGCGCACCCTTCTGTTCTATGCTGGAATCATCATTTGCAATCAATGTCTGTATTCTATGTTTCTGTTCTTCCCCTTGTGTGTATTTCATACGTATCCCATTATAAATAGCACACGACAACAACAATTTTTTTATTCGGCCATCTCTAGTTCCTAATCTGAAAAATCCTTCCCAAAGCAGCTAGAGAACCGGTTGAAAGAACTTTCAAGTGGCTTATTTCATACTTTAATGATCAAGTAATCATTGTTCTATACAATATCTAGTTAAATCGTAGAATTCAATGCTTTTATATACTTTAACTGACTTGTCCAGTTATTTCATGAAAAATGCCTAGTTATTCTATGAAATAACAGATTTCTCACGTTAACGGTAACATATATATATCTCGTTTACATTGAACAAATTGTACAATTTGTTTTTGAAACGCTTAATGATGATAACATCGCTGGATACACAACTCTCATTTTATAATATACTTGCAATCTACTTGATCATTTCTTGTCATACCTACATTGCTTTCATAATTTTTTCAAATTTATGTTATATTAAGTAATGAATTAAATATTGAAAAATATGCTACATATTTGAGGGTGTTTCTTGCTTCAGTAACATACGAGTATAACAAATTTGTATGTTTGATTCTAAGTAGTTTATATTACGCTCGTTTTAAAGCAAAAATAATGCTAAAACAGAATAATAGAGAGTGTAAAATTAGATTTAATTATTTATTCATGCTATGCATCTATATACCATTGCAAACTTAGACCAAGAGAATGCCTACATTGACCACCTTAGGATAATGGAATTAAAAATAAGAAAAAAATACTCAGAAATTTCGATAATAATCCAAATTTATTTAATGATTAACATACGTTAACAAGTGATAAAATAATGATAGAGTTAACGTTACAAGTAAGCTATGTTTGAGGAACATTGATACAAATTGAGCAAAAAGATGAGGAAAAAGCATTAATGTAGCCTGATGAATGAATTATGATTGAAAAAAATCATTAATTTCTGTGATATGTATATACAATTATTTAGTAGCATCTCAACCATTGGGGTAATGATAATCATATAAGAAAACCTTCATTTGCTATATTTGAGCTCTGTTGTAAACCACTATAATTAGTTAGATTTTTAAATATTATATTTCTAAAAACTTTAAATGGAAATTAATCTTAAATATTCGTAAAATGAAAAAAAGACCTAAGCATTTCTTATTGAAATGAAATTATTATCAATAACTTTACCAATCCGCAGCCTCATTTGAAAAAAAATCAATAACTTAATTTTATTTTTGGGAAAAATTTTCAAAAATTAGAGAGGTTTTATTTTAAAAAAAAACTGAATTATATAATGCGTATGACATAAAACAATTATAAAATATGCTACGTATATATATATATATATATATATATATTCCAACTGTGACTTTTAAATTGACACGAATATAGCGATAAAATTAATTGTTTGCCTTATTGTAACATGTTTGCTTTTTATTACAGGTATATATTAAAAGTCCATTGTGAATGCCATTAATATGATTTCTACTATTAATTATGAAATAATCAATTTTATCAAGGCTTATTTTGTAGTGCAGTTTCATAACATAACTATCTAAACTAAAAAGAAGTCAAGTATTAAAAATTATTTTAAGTAAAAAGAATTTTACAATATTTTTAAATAACGTCTGTTTTAATAATATATACCTTATATTTCCGAATAGAAGCCGAGAGGGGATTTTTGCTCAGAAGTTTTACGATGATCATATGCATTAGACATTCCGATGATTGAATGTGAATTTTACGATCTGTTTGGAAACTCAGATTCAGCCACTGATTTTGCAGAATTTATAAGACTGTTTTATTTTTCTTTCAGATTAAAAGTTCCATTCAAAACACTCAAAAAGCTAAAAGATTAAAATCTCTTGCCCATGGCTAACGAAAAAATGTTTTTTTAACGTTATTGGTTTTCCTACTTCAGTTTGGAGAATAGCGGCTTTACTTTTGACTTTAAATAGTTCCAAAAACTTAACAGCTTATACAGGGAAATATATAGGTAATCAATTTCTAATCATAATGTTAGTTATTAGCTGTTTTTTTTCTCTGAGGTTAGGGAGCAGTTGTAAATTTTTTATCGTACCCCCATGGCTTAAATGCGAATAATTTCTCTCTCGGTTTCTCTATAAAACATATTTAATGCCAAAATTAATTTCCTTTTTGACTCTAGAAGTAACCATTTTCTAGAAAAGAGAGAATTTTAAAAAACATAGATACACATTCAAATGTGAGGAAGAGTTTTTTTCATTCCGTTTCTTCTTGCCTTCTCCAAAACTATCGATTTATCCATCAACTTGAAGTATTTGTAAGCTAAAGCATCAAAAGTAACATTTGAATCGCACTCTTTCGCAAGATGTCGCACAACTCCTTTATATTCTGGAAGAGTTTCCGTCAACTTTCTTATATTTTTTGATGGAAATGATCCATAGAGCTCTATGGCAGCTGTCATCTCGGGACGTAGAAAATAGTTTGCATTCGAAGGCAAAAATGATCCTCTAAATACCATATTTCGAATGGATGGATAAAATACGTCCTGATTGGGTGCATTGCAGTAGTTCGCCGTCATGACCTGCAACTGCGCGTAACTGTTGTTGTTGTAACTCTTCAACAAATCAAGACGATTAAAATATTTTGGTACAAATAAATCAGTTATACCAACTGTTAATACATTATTATGATCACTCAGTGCTCTGTGCAAGCAGTCTTGTACATATTCACACCACGATATCTGGCAACTGTTCAATGGTTCCATTTTTTTGTTCCACGTGAACATGTGAATGGAATGACCAGCATCTATTAGCTGATGAATATATTGAATTGTAACTTGAGTTGCATTGTAATTGTAAAAGAAAAAGTTTTTTAAGCCTATCATTTCGTAAAATATCACGAACTCTTCTATTTGCTTCGCAGAAACGTTCCCATCAAAAGGTCGAACGCAAGCTGCAATTCCGGTCTGATTGTCGTCTGATGGAATCGTTTCGATTTCAATCCATTTTTTGGAAAATGTATCCCCATGCGAAAGAAGAATTACTTTCTTAGGAGTACTGCTGTTGTCTTTCGCCGGGCAAGATACTAAAAATGTACTGCAATTAGATAACTTTTCGTAAGTGGCTTCTACAATATTTATATCTTCCACGTCGTCATATTTAACAATACATCGAAGATCTTCAACGTACATTTCTTTCTTGGAGCTGGTACCAATGATCAAAATAATACTATCATCAACAGTTCTTCTTTTAAAGAAAGCTGAATAAACCGAAACATCTTCATTGACTATACGCCAATAAGGTGCCATTTTGGAATTGATGAGATTCGTAGCAAGAAGATCTATGGCAACTACAGATGAATCTATAATAGTGACAAACTTCCGATTCAAATCATATACTTCGTAAATCACCATTCCGCACATAGCAGCGACTAGAAGCAAGATGAGTATGTTGTATAGACCTATCCATTGTTTTGGTGTGTAATCCATGGAAAAGCTTGGCCTGGGGCTCCTGAGTTTCATTCTTGTCAATTTAGAATCTAAAAGAGAAAGAAAAAGTTACTTAGTGGTACATTTGTTTCAAAATTGCTTATTTTAGAGAATTATTCGGAGCTAAGTAATTGAGTTACGTGAGTTCTTAAAGCAATTTTTTTAGTTGAGTGTAGTTTTTAAATTAGCGTATCAAATGAAACTACTCACGGTCATCAGTAAGGTTCTTAAAAATAAATTTTTAGTCGTGGTCAGTGGCGTAGCTAGTCCTGAGTGGGCCCTGTATCAAAATGTTTGGGGTTCTTTGACATTTTACGATTATTTCCTTACACAGGTTGGGGCCCCTGAAGCTTGGAGGCCCCGTATCATTAATACGGCTGATACGGCGGTAGGTACGCTCTTGGTCGAGGTAAAATGAAGACAACCCCCAAATGGATGTTCTTTCTCTCCCAAATTACCTACTACATCACGTGGAGATTTAGCTGCACAGTTCAGTTTAACCTAAATCAGCCCCATTATTCTATTGGTCCATATCCTACATCTCTATTCGAGTATCGCCATACACCATTTACTTCGCGAACTAAGCTACTGAGTAACCCTATATTTTCTTTCAAAAAAATGTTCCAACTTATTTTAACTCACATAGAAAGCAATATATTTCACCATATTATACCATTCCAATCAAAAATTATATTTTATCTTTTTTCCCCCTTTTATCTACATTTTACCCTTCACTTTTCAATTTTAAAATGATTTTTAATTTAAAAAAAAAAGATTCAAAACTGTATATTTATTGACACTTTAAAATTTTTAATACGCAGTATTGTAAATAAGTGTATGCAGTATTTACAGGATGATTATAATTAAAGTTCTTTCAAAATGCTGTAAAAGAAGACCCACTGATCAGATTAACTTCAAATTTGAAATGAATATACTTGAAGAAGGGGAAAACGGTATGGTATGAGAAAAAAAAACTTCGAAAATGTATCGATAGATGGCGCCGAAAGTAGCCCATCATGCAAACTAGTAAGCACTCATGCGTAAAACACATTGTATTTATTATAAAAACGCTGGGTATGCGGCGTTCTCCTCATATTATATCTGAGTAGCATCGCATTCTGCTTATGAAGCTGTTTTATAAGAATGGTGAGTATGGAAGAAATGCCGGTTATTAAAGGGTATGGAAAAAAGACTGTGAAACACTCCGCTCTGTTGTTGAATATACTCTTTATTGATTTCAACTTGTGACGAAAAATGGTGGAAAGCACATTGAACATGTCTCGTGCAAGTCTAGCTTTAATTAATAGACTATAATTGTTGCTTTTTATGTGGTTTTTGTCCCAAGGAAGATTAAACAATGGACTGAGTTTTTCCATCCAATGTGATCCGAC